AGATACATGTTTTCAAACTAACATCAGTAAAAAGCTTAAGATTCTGTATACATGTAACAAAAAAAGGGAAATGGAAAACATACGCATGCTACCTCATCAAATTAACAATTGTTATTGGATTAACTCAGCCTTTTGAATTTATTATAAATTATTATTAGACCTTTTCATTCCATTTTTTTATAAATATTAGAAATTTAAGTTGCAAAGTCAAAATTAACAAATTCCTCCCTCAAATTCAATGACTGGAATTATACCTTTTGAGACATTTCTGCTTGAAGCTGCTTCTCTATTTCTTTTCTATATTCATGAAGTTTTACATCCCAAGATTCGTATTTCTGATGCTGGGGATAAGAGTCTGCAAACTGTTCATCAATCAGCTGAAGCTTCTCAGCTACAAAAATCCAGCATTTAAAAATAAATTAGTCACCACAGTTATCCCACCAAAGGTTGTAAGGATTCGTCTCTCTGCACAAAGTTCCTTAGCATACATGAGTAGGACCATCGCAGAAATATCTGCAGGGTACAACAGCCATGGCAGAAGAGAAATGGCATTTCTCAGCTCTAGCCCACCTAACATATGCACAGGAGGAGGCAGGTAGCTGTTTAGACACTATTTGTAGAATAAATAGTCATTCATCCTCTTCATCATGGAAGGATAAGAGGTTTTTTTTTTTTTTTTGCATGCAACTTCTAGTTTTTGTACTACCAACACCACGCACATTATAACTTAAAATCTGTACCTAGCTTCCAAGGAAAAAATATTGTAGGAAGAAGTAAAGCATGTAGTTACCATTATGTTTTCCAGAACATATTTCAACACAATACTAACAAACCATCTAAGATGTTTAAGTGTTAGCTAAATACCTAAGAAAACATCTGAGCGATAACAGAATTGTCATAGGACTTTAATCTTAAGAAAGGTGAGAAAAGAAGGTATTAGTGACAGGTATAACTGTGATCATTACTTTAGTTTGCACATGAATAAACGATGAACACACACCATTCCTCCAGTTTATTCATCCATACCATTTATCCAGTACAAAAATATTTGGGGACTTCTGCCTGCAAAGGCTGCACTTACCAAGAGATTCTCTGTAAGGAGGCATTAAGTTTGTCTGAGTTTCTGTGTCATGACTTTCCTTACTTAGATGATGCTCGATCAGTTCCATTAAGATCTGCATAAGAAAACCTTTCAAGATCCAATATATTAGTTACTTCTGATTTCATATCAAATTGAGTTTTCAAGCATATAACTAAAAAAGTAATATTCACTAAACAAAGAAAACCAATCCAATTTACTGAAGGAATTCAGTGAAAATTAAATTAAATAAAACCAATGCTAGAAAACTATTAAGCTTATACTACATGCTTATACTGCAAATCTTATATTTGTAGTATAAGCTCTCATTCTATAAAAATTGTCTTTTTGCAACTTTTCCTTCCATCCGTTTCTCTTTGACTTCCAGGCTTACTTGAGAGAGCAAATTATTACTACTTTATTTATGAGGATATTATGCAACAAAAGAAACAAGAGTTTTTGAAGATCAAGTCATTTTAGGCTGCATAATATAGTTAGCTTTCATCATACAGACTTGATAACTATTTCTTACAAAAAACAATGAAAACGCAACTAAATCTTTAACTACTGAAGTACTGAGGTATTCTATGCAACCTAACAAAGTTATAAATAAATCTGAACTCACCAGTGTTAAAGTGAAAAGCTTCCAAAGAGTATTAGATTTAACACCTGATTACAGATTTTTTCATACTTCTAACATCCATATCATTTATTTTATTTTGTAGATGAATATTAACACTTCATCCACACCACAAATAGCAGCTGCATCATCCTGAAATACAATGTTTACTATCCCGATGTGCTACAAGTTTCTTTAAAAAAAATCCTATCAAATCCAAATTATTCAATATCTATGTATACTCAATGAATTTAAGTTTCTGTTGCTCATATCTTAATTGAAATGAAGCTGACATGATGATCATTGTGTGCATCGTGCATAAACATCACATACCTTTTTTATTTTCCTTCTGAGTTCTCAATGTCTGTAAGAAATAAAAGATGGTGTTTTGTCCAGCCTACTTCATTACAACTGTAATTCAAATGCATTTTTTGAATCAAAATCATTTTACCAATGATTTGTAAAGACTGGATTTCGGATTGATCCTGATTAATTGAAGAAGATCTTGCATAGTCAACAACTTTGGGGGAGAAAGAAAGAAAGAAAGAAAAAGATTAGATTAGAGAAGGTTAAGTATCTTTAAAACATTGCAAATATGTAGCAGCCACTATTTTATACTGTCATAGAGTAACATTTTCCATTTGAGCAAGATCTATTCATCACCTTGTAACACCACTTTCAGAGGCTTGCTGTCTTAGTAGCATGTTTACTATCTCCTTTATCTAAGGCATATGGCAGTCAGTGCATAGTTTCATGACTGACTGAGACTGTGAAGAGATTGTTCTGTTTTCTTTCCAACCTAGACACGTGCTCTTGCTACTTTCCTTGCATCGTTTCTAGCTAAATCACATAGAGCAGATCAGCTCACTAATCTATATGACTGCTAATGACTCTGCAGTTCAAAAGCCTAATTTTCACCTAGAAACATATTCACCACGTTATGAAATCACCATTGAGGGAAAACAAAGAAAGGGCAAGGACTGCTCTTTCCAGCAACAGCTTAAACTGATTGTGAACCACACTTTCAGACAATTAACTGGGCCAAAAAAGAGGCTAGCTTTAATCAGGATCAGTTCCTCAAGTCATCTGCCACATGGCAAAAAAAATGGGCATGGCAGACCCTTGTGGTTGAAGCAAGCGTGACTTTAAGAGGCTCTACATCTTTCCAGAACAACATTAGCTTATTGCCAGTTTGAAAGTATTTGTGAAAACAGCCCTGGTCAGAAGCTGCACTGTCAGAAAAAGGGATTTTCCAACTATGTTGAAAGATCAGTATTTGTAAAGCTCCCAAAAGTCTTAAAAGAGGTAAATTACTAAGCTTACCTTCTTCTTCTCCAATCCACTTTCTGGAAAGAAAACAGAAAGTGAATACTCATAGCCACATCTCTGCAGATGATCTGCCACCAAACTATTGGAAGCTGTGATCAAAAGTGAGCCCTCATCACTTGCAACAGTCCGTGGTTGAAGTTCTCCACTTAAAATCGGGTGCATTAGTTCATGGATTAGCTGATTTCGGAGCTGTGTCTGGTACAGAAATTTCAGAAAGAGGTAAACAGAGAAAATGAGAGTTTTTATTTTTCAAAGACCATGGGAGTCTCACTGTAGTTTTATCAGCTGTATTACAACTTACATAACAGAAGGGGGAGCAGGCTAATTCTGGCAAAATTTGGACAGCTCAGGACACCATGGTTTTCTTCAATACTCATTAATGGTGCTACAGTGATGTTTAACTTTCCCTCAAAATACAGGGCTGAGAATAAATACTGTTTTATATCAAAAAACTCACATGAATACCATGCCAGTACTCCCCATCTTCATTTTTGTATTGCTACTTTCCTTCTCTCTGTATTAAGTGAAACCCATCTGATGCGGCTTCAGTTCCAAGTATGCTTGAAAAACTCACAAGTCCTCTTCTATGTTTTAAACCGAGAAGCTGCTGATTCCATATTGAAAGTAGGTGGTAAAACAGGAAAGGCAATGTCTTTAATATCATCAATTATTTTGCAGGGAAGTGAAAGTGTACTAACAAAAAAACGCCTATATGCACTAATAATCGTGCAAATAAATGCTCAGTAAAAAATGTAATACAATTAGGTGTGACAGACTTAGTTAAATCAAACAAGATGAGGAACGGTTCAAGCATTGCAAGTTTAATATGGCAATCACTAAGGGAGAATTTTTGGCTATAAAATTATCAGCGGTATTCTTAAAGACTAGCTCTTGATTTTTTCCTGCATTAATGACTTGACGTAAAAAGTAGGAGCTAAAAAAAATGTATGGTACCAAACAGACCCTGTGATCTAGGAGGTCTTTTCCAACCCATATGCTTATCTAGTCCTCTCCTTTCTACCTGACATTCTTTGCAAACATGGACATTTCAAAGGCCTTACAGAAACTATTAACCTTTCTGGCAGAGACTATGAGAGCAATCCGCAATGAAAACACTTCCGTTTATGAAAAAAAAAAATCTGGCAGATAAGGTGAATATGGATTACGCTACATCCAAATACTTGTGGAGAGAGCAGGAAACATATTGATTCATCATGAGTTTCACTGACTACTTTCAATGTTAGACAGTGCAGCGAATCATAGACAGCGCCCGCTGAAAATAAAACACACACCTTAAGTGTGTCCAATACACCTCGGTTCTTAAAAGTCTGATAGAGCCTTTTCCGGAGTTCATCTTGGGACAACGCCTCCCGCTGAGCCGAGGTCATCCTGCCCTACGTCACCAGAAAGACAGACATTACCGACTCTGAGCTCGACCCCCAGCCCGCGCGATGGCCAAAACCCCAACGCCCCCAGCCGCCTCCTCCCGCGGCCCGAGGCCTCAACCC